TTGTTGTTGTTGCTGTTGTTGTTGTTGTTGTTCTTGTTGTTGTTGTTGTTGCTGTTGTTGTTGTTGTTGTTGTCGTTGTTGTGGTTGTTGTTGCTGTTGTTGTTGTGGTTGTTGTTGTTGTTGTGGTTGTTCTTGTCGTTGTTTGAGTTTTTGTTTGGTGTCAGTGTTAGTCTTAGTCTTAGTCTTAGTCTTAGTCTTAGTCTTAGTCTTGTTGGTGTTGGTGTTGTTGGTGTTGTTGGTGGTGTCGGTGTTGGTGGTGGTGCTGCTGTTGGTGTTGGTGTTGGTGTCGTTGTTGCCGTTGCTGCTGCTGCTGCTGCTGTTGTTGTTGGCGGTGGTGGTGCTGGCGGCAGGTGTGGTGGTTGTGGTTTAGGCAGCGGCATCGGTGGTGAGCTGGCATGGTTCCAGACCCTTTCTCGCAGCGATGTCACAGCAAGCCCAGGTGCCTTCAGACTCGGTATGCGTGGCGAAGACGGCGGCGAAGGTTGACCGATGCTGGGTTCAGGAGTTCTTTGGCTGAGGATTGTAGGTTTAATGGAACGCGCCCCCTGCGAATCAGCTGAAACAACTTTAGAACATGGCTTACATGGAATCTTCTAAAATGGGTAATGACTTCTGGCAGCAGCTCGTCAAAGGATGTGCCCAAATTAGAGTGTGAGGCTGTGCTTTTTCCATTGCCCAGTTTCGTGTGTGGAGACTTGTACGTCTCAGACTTCGTGAAACAACTAGCCACCAACGAATTCCTAGTGCTGCTGGACCCCACTAGCCTACCAGGCTACTTCCAGTTTCGAAATCCCTCCGGTGTAGCTGCAGTCGTTGTTGGCGTGATATCAAGAACAGTGATTGTTGCAAGATGAATTTGCTGGTTAGGATTGACGATGCCAGCGAAACGGATAACGCCCACAGACATAACAAACCCTTTTTCAAATCGCAGCTGTCATGCCTGACAAACTTTGTTCACCGCTTTTGTCAAGTCACGCACTCCGTCTACCGGCTCCTGTCGAATATTTGCACGGCAGGTCTATGGTGAAGGAGGCCCGCGGCGTCGGATTCGTGATTGCTAATTGCACAGTGTACTTGTATGTGTGCATGATTGTGTATGCGTAGAGTTGAGAGGGCCAAAGAGGCTAGAGGCAAGGTGGTTGCAAATAATTACTTTTAGGAAAACAATAGGAATTCAATAGGATCTTGGGGTTCCGTTGGAATAGGCGGACAATAGGCTTTTGGATAGGATTTAGGAGTGGTCAGTTGAAGGGTTTTTATTTCTACAGGACTGTAGTGAGCAAGGTTGTAGG